GTGTTCCCGCCCCCGGACTCTTCTCCGGCCCGTCTTCCTCCTCGTTCCCCTCTTGTGTCCCCCACTGTCTCCAGACCCTACACCTCCGTCCCAAGTTTGGTCTCGCCGTCCCGTCTCCCCTGTCCCTCGCTCCCACCCTATGTTACTCCGTTCTCACTCGTCTTGTCCCCCCCCTCCCCTCGCCTCCTCCCTCGTCGCTTGTTGTTGCACCTCCCCCGCTGTCTGACTACCTCCATGCCGCTCGTCCCCTCGTCCCTCGGGTCCTTGCCTCTCTTGTTACAGACCCGCCTGTTCCTGTCTCGCGCCTTGACGCGCTTGTCGCTGCTGTCGCTGACTTCGCCTCTACTTGCCGCCTTAACTACGCTACAGCTCTGGTCTCTGACCCTGCCCGTCCTGTGTCCGTCGAGGGTGCACCTGCCCTTGGCAGTGACGTACTAGAGGATAGACAGTACGAGCTTGCTTTCCTTTACGAGGCCGCTCCCCATCTCTGCTCCATGCTCCTAGTCCCTGAGGGTGACCCAGACGCCTTCGACATCCCGACCCCTTGCACTTATGCTGAGGCCACCTCGGGACCCTGGGCCTCTCAGTAAATAGCTGCCATGGAGCAGGAGATGGCATCTTGGAGGTCCACCGGCACTTACGTCGACGCAGTTCTCCCTCCTGAGGTGAACGTAGTCGATGGTCGGTGGCTTTTCAAGGTGAAGCGCCCCCTGGAGAGCTGCCTGTCTTCAAGCCGCTCTACGTGGCTAGAGGCTTCAGCCAGCGCGAGGGGTGGAGTTTTTCCAGACCTTTGCCCGGACCCCGAAGATGACTACTCTTCGGGCACTGCTACACATCGCAGCACAGCGCGACTACGAGCTTCACTCCCTCGACTAACGAGTCTCTGAGACTCTCAGGTCTTCTCAGGGCTACTGTTTAGCCTTGGTTCAGGTGCTATCTCTTGGAGATCCACTCACTCGTCGTCTGTTGCTCAGTCCAGCTGTGAGGCTGAGATCTACGCTGGTGCCATGGCGGCACAGGAGCTCCGCTGGCTTACCTTCTTGCTCACAGACTTAGGTGAGCGCCTAGTTCGTGCCCCGGTCCTGTACGCTGACAACAGGCCATGATTCTCCCTATGCCAGGAGCCTCGGCTTGAGGGCAGGACGAAGCATATCGAGCTGCGGTACTTCCTCCTGCGCGAGCTACGCGCGCGCTAGGCCCGCGTAGTTCACTTGGCCTCCGGTGCCAACACAGCTGATATCTTTACCGAAGGCGCTTGCGCTAAAGATCAATCAGCGCACTGTGTGCAGCTTGGTCTTGTTCCTGTAGCTACTCACTTGTTAGGACCCTGATTGTGTACTCTCTACTACATATATACTCCTGTCTGACTGGCCTTGTGGCCTTGCCCCCAATGGCTGGACTAGTAGTGCCGCCCTAGTTTGCTTTAGTTTTGTTTGTACTTTTGCTGACTGGTCTCCGGACCCCTGCCTCATGGTTGGACTAGTAGTGCCGCCCTGAGCTGTGGCTTCTTGCTTAGCACCACCCTTCTCTAGCCTAGGGGGTGTGTCAACTTATACATATGCTGTATGTAGAAGGTATAGGTTAGCCTAGGTGTGTGCTTCTAGTGAGTACAACCCAAACAGGTACATGTTCTAGGTTTCTCCACACTAGTCATTCATTCTTCCTTTCTAACACCGGCACCATGCTATTCTAACAAATCCTACCATTCTAATCATTCTTTCACTTCGAAAGCACTCCCTACCCCAACAGCATAGCAGCTGTTTGTCAGGCCTTCCACCCTCCCACTGGTTTCAGCAATCCACACTCCCACAAACACCCTGCAAAAGCAGGGTGCAAAAATGGTACTGCCATCATCATGCTTCCCCACCCACACCTCCAACCCACTTGCATTCCCCAGTGGCGTCCATCTGCTGCTGACCCTCCTTCCGGATTTTTTATTCAAATTATTTTATTTATTTTTATTTCAGAAACGATCTTGCCTTCTCTAAAACCATGACCAGAATCATTTCTCACAGCAGCAGTCAAGGCAGCCATGGCCGTCTTGAGTTGGCTGCCAGCACCACCCTGGACGCTCTGCTCGCCCCTCTTACTTGCAGCGTCAAGCTCCACTCCACGCAGCCCCCGCTGCTCTGCACCACATCTCGGCCTCGGAATCAGGGTCGTTCCCTCCACGCGCGTCAAGACTGCTCCTTTGCTGCTCAGTTTTGCGATGCGTGGCGCAGCAGTGGCAATTGGAGCACATGCTGACATCTTTTCTGCTGCCTTCCTGTGAATAACGGACGAGATTGACGAAATCAGCACCACCGCATCTGATGCTGCAGGGTTGCGGAATTTAACCTTAGGCGTTCTGAATCCGGATCGTGCGTGGTGTGATCAAACGTCACAGCTGGCAGCTGTACCAGCATTGGGTGCTGCAGCATTGCTGTCGCGAGAGGGGTTCTCATTGCCGGCTTCGACACTCCCATTGCTGGTGCAGTTGCAGCAGAGCGCCGGAGTCAGTCACGCTGGTGGGTGCTGAGTCACTGGTAGGGCTCAGAAGATGGCCGATCGTGTTTTGCCGTCAGTGGCGGGAGCTCAGCAGCCAATGGGCTGCCATTGACGGCGTGGTGCGGAGGGAATCCATGGCGCTGGCACCATTGATTTTGAGGCACCTCGAAAATTGGCGCTAGTACCATTGGCGCTGTGGTGAATTGAGCGACCGGGCCGGCGGTCATGCGGAGGGAATGCATGGCGCCGCATGACCGGCATGCAAAACGGTGAAGCCGGAGGTACCATTGATGCTGTGGTGAAAACTATTGCGCCGCAGACACAACCGCCCTTGCCAAGGTGAACGGGGGAGGCCCGGCTGAGCCTGAGGGCGGGCGTGCGAGAGCACTGATTTTCTGGCGGCTTGCGCAGGGAGGTCAACTAGTTGCTGCTAGTGCCGGGTCAAACGTCCAAGCCACTCGCTCCACGTTCGTTGGCGAGCTTTCCTCCCCCCAACTTCCACCCCCCAAGGCAGCCACCAGGTCTCTCCTCGGATCCCTGACACTGAAATTCCACATCTCAGGGTCAGCCCCCTCTTGCCTGCGCTGCCCCATGGCATCCCACAGCCGCTCTTTCTGCTGCTCACTCAGCCAGCACCAGGGCTTGAGCCTCTCGTCCATCCCGTCGTGCACCTGCCACCAGCGCCTGTGCGCCGCCTCGTTCACAAACCTCTGCATGTACAGCAGCACGCGGTTGCAGTCAAAGTCGCGGAAGCAGTACCACGGCTTGCGCCCCACGTAGTGAATGGCGTCCAACCGGGGGGGTCGGCGGAGAAGAGAGCAGTCTGGGCAGCCACTTCGCGGTCGCGGCCAGGGTGTCCCTGCGGCGTCATGATGAGCTTGAGGGCGGCGGTGGAGCTGGGCAGGCGGTGCCACCACGTGAACACGTTGTTCAGATAGCCCTGGGAGGGAGGCACAGGGGAGGAAGTGGGTAAGGGAAATGGGTGGAAGTAGAGGGAAATGGGTGGAAGGAGAGGGAAATGGGTGGAAGGAGAGGGAAATGGGTGGAAGGAGAGGGAAATGGGTTGAAGGAGAGGGAAACGCCAAGACCTCGAACCAGTCAATAAGATCCTGACACATTTGCCGACCGGGCTTTAACTACGTGCTGTCCACACAAACATGCCGTACCAAGCCATACAGCTACCCATCCCTGCAGCACCCATCCGAGCGCCAATGCACACCTGGTCTCCGCCATCATGAGTCCAGATGGTGTGCATGTTGGCCAGGAGGAAGTCCAGGGTGCAGAGCGACGGCTGTATGACCATGAGGCCCGAGTTGAAGTGAAACACGTCCTTGAAACGCACCCCGGCCGACAGCTCGGGGTAGAGGAAGAGGTGCGTGAGAGGGCGCAGGGCGACCATGTCAGCATCCACACTCACGATGCGCTCGTACTCCGTCAACTGCCACAGCCACAGCTTGCTGCCATGGATAAACACACACAAACACAATGCGCGGGGGGACTGTATCAGCATCGGCACCACACACACAATGCGCAGGGCAAAGACGTCAGCATCCACACGCACAATGCGCTCATACGAACTCCGTCAATGCCACAGCCACAGCTTGCTGCCGTGGATGTTTGAGACAAACACACACACACACACACACACACACACACACACACACACACACACACACACACACACACACACACACACACACACACACACACACACACACACAATGCGCTCGCAGGTACTCCATCAAAGGCGCAGCCACACCTTGCTGCCACGGCAGGAGGGGAGGCAGGGGCGAGAGAGGGAAGTGTGAGAGAGAGATGCGGGAAGAGGAGAGAGGCTGACAGGTGGTGATATCTGGTGGCGAGGTTTGGTGACACAGACGGGGCCGGTGCTGCAGGAGCACAGCCATAGCCTGCCTATGTGTGAGGCGAGTGTGCCACCTGTAGCCCACAGCGGACAAGTAGCAGCAAGCAAAGGTAATTTTTGGGATTCTCATAAATCACCTATGGCATGGGTGAAGAGCCCACACCCCAGAATTCTCCGCAGCGACTCATGTTATCCACCTGCCGCACTCCAAGTGAACGCACCTCACCGAGCCCCCCTTCCCACTTACCGCTCTCGTCCCACCTCCCGTCAGGCACCTTGGAGCGCGCCGCCACACACCTGTAGCTCCATTTGCAGTAGCTCCGCTTCTTGGAAGCAAGGGTTCACAAAGTCATGACCCATGGTGCCCAAGTGGTGCGCCTCGGACCTGTAGCTGTGGCTGCCCTTCTTGGCCCGCGGGTTCCTCATCCTTTCGATGTCCACAATCCGCCATCCCGCCGCCTGCAGCCCTTTCCGGCTCTCCGCCCCCACCTCCGCCGACACCAGCGCAACAGCTCCGCCTCGGGGCGCCCATTACTCCCCTCCACGCCCCCCATGCCTCCCATGTCCCCCATGGCCCCCGTCTCCCCCATGCCCCCCACGTCCCCCCCATCTCCCCCACTTCCTGCTTTTCCGCCAACCCTGCCATTGGCGGTGGAGGCATTTCCGCCTTCAGCCGCGCTGCTATCGGGGGTGCTGGGGAAAAGGGCGGGTGGCAGCGCGAGGCTGGTGGCGCGGAGGGAGTGCGCGAGCACGATTGCCCCACAGACGTAGTCGCCCTTGCTGTGCAGCACGGTGGCGAAGGCGAAGCGCGGAGTGCCCAACGAGGCGGGACGTGTGGTGGAAACTTGAGGGGAAGAGCAGAGCAGAGGCCGGGGAAGGGAACGGGGTGTGAGGGTCCGATGGAGGCGGGCTGATGGCTAAATGAGAGTTGGAAGAGCCACGAGGGAACGAGCGTTGGAAGAGGCACGGAGGAACGAGGGTTGGCAGAGGCACAGAGGAACGAGGGTTGGCAGAGGCACGGAGAAACGAGGGTTGGCAGAGGCACGGAGAAACGAGGGTTGGAAGAGGCACGGAGGAACGAGGGTTGGGTGAGGCACGGAGGGACGATGGTTTGAAGAGGCATAAAGGAACAACGAGTCCAGACCAAGAGGTGGGCTGCAGTGGACCGCACCTGGGGCGTGGGCGGTGGGTTGCACCAACGCGCAGGACCCCACGGGCTGGATGCGCGCGCGCATGTCGCTCGCTGTCACGTTGTACAGCCACACGTCGCCCTCCGCCCCGTGGGCCGCGGGCTGCGCGCGTACGAGGAAGTGGCAGTGGAAGAGGTTGGGCGGCGGGCGGCAGGGGGAGACGATGGCAACGGGCAGCCAGGGATGCCAGGACTGCGGGAGCAGCGGGGGGGGAGCAGCGGAAGGGGAGCAGTGGGGGGAAGCAGTGGGGGGGGAGCAGTGGGGGAGGAGCAGTGGGGGAGGAGCAGCGGGGGGGGAGCAGCGGGGGGAGAGCAGCGGGGGAGGAGCAGCGGGGGGGGAGCAGTAGGGAGGAGGGTGGCATGGGGATGGAGGGAGGGACGGAGGGGAGGGAGGGGGAGAGCGAGGGATAGCGTGACAAAGTAAGGAGCAAGAAACAGCAAGGTGTGATGGTCACCTGCTTAGCCATTCCCCCCCACCTTACTGGCCAGCCCTCCCCCGCATCTTACTACCCTGCATTCCCCCGCACCGTACTGCCCTGCACTCCCCCCCAACATTCTAGCCTGCATTCCTCCCGCTTCCTCTGCCCTGTACTCCCCCACACCTTACCCTGCATCCCCCCCCCCACCTTCTACACTTCTCTGCACCTTACTCACGAACCGTGCGAGCGACAGCATCAGCTGCAGCCATCGCACGTCCCTCGCGAGCGAGTCGTTCGCCGGGCGACATGGAACCACCGCGACCACCGCGTCTGCCACGTCATGGTACCCCTCGTTCTCCTCCCACGGCGCGCGGGGCACAGCAGGGCAAGTGACGTTGGAGCGCTCGTAGTTAATCTCCGGGTAGAGGTCGTCCCACGTCACGTTGCGGCCTGCTTCCGCTGGCGCGGGGAGCAGCACGACTCGGAATTGAGCTGCTCGCATCTCCCGCTCTCCACGGGGAACATCATGTTTAGGGGGATGATAACTGATGGCATCATCATCATCATCATCATCATCATCATCATCATCATCATCATCATCATCATCATCATCATCATCATCATCATCATCATCATCATCATCATCATCATCATCATCATCATCATCATCATCATCATCATCATCATCATCATCATCATCATCATCATCATCATCATGCTGCTGTTGCCGCTGCCTCACTCCGAGTCGGTGGAGGAGGATCACTGCGCGGTCCACGTTAAACGCAGCCACACGGATCATCCGCGATTCGTTTGGAACACCGTCCCTGACCGAGTCATCACGATGCTGCTGATTCCGCGGCTCCTGCTCTTGCTCTCGTCTCTGCGCCTCTTGCGCCTCTTGCTGCTCTTTCCGCCATTGCTCCCGGCTGCGCTGCACCGCCTCCTCCGCCCACGACGCCAGCGCCAGTAGCCCGCGCGAGAAGGCGGCGGCTGAATCGGCGCGGACGGGGTGCTCCGGGGACATATCCCTCGGCGCAGGCGGCGCGGCATCGAGCGGATCGGGTGGCGGGGGAGGTGCGCAAGCAGCGCCAGCGCCAGGAGGACGAGCACGACGGCGCAGTGCGCGAAACGGATGGCGGGGAATGAGGCTCGCTGCACTGGTGGTGGCGGAAGGAACGTCAGCATCGTTGCGCGAGGGAGAAGTGTATTCAGGTTGTTCCGAGTCGTACGGGTATGGGGGGAACGTGTGGGGAGGGCGTGTGAATATGAGACGACGGTGGACGGTGATGGACGATGATGGCGGTTAGAGACGAGCCACGTTCGATGCAGGATTGGAGAGACGTCCTGGTGCTTCCTTTGTCTGTGTGTGGTGAAGCACGACGCGAGGGGTGCGTTGGAGAGGAAGGATTAGCTTCTGTGAAGATAGCAGTGCAAACTTTGCACTAAGTTTGAAGCTAGTACAGTAGTACGAAAGTCGTGAAGTGAGAAATGAGATCGAGCTGCAGATTTGTATGGAGCTGTGAGGCAGAGCGACGGAGACAGGAGCCTTGGAGGCATAACCGACGCTGCGCGACTTCCGCCAAGCAACATTTTCTCGGGCCGAAATTTAGGTTGAATTTTGGCGACAAGTTGGGAACAAGCGAAGATGCGAGTCAACACCACGTGTGTTATGAATGAACAAGCAGAGTAGCGCGGAAATGAATAACGAAGTGTTCACCCAATGAATGATGATACAAGGAATGGCAAGCCAAGATATAGGAACACTAGAGCTAGTCTAACCCTGCGATGGTAAGGTTCGGGAAGGAGATCGAAGGGTCTCGAAGTGATGAAGCGAGGCCTGGAGAACTCTCGAAGGTCGAACTAGCAGATCTGGAGAAGCCGAGGCGGTTCTGTCAGAAAGGTCCGGAACAGTCCCGAGGCTTCGGGTGTGTTCGAGCGTACGCGATAGCAGGACCGCTCGGTAAGGAATGGAAAAGTCCTTACACCACCCCCCCCCTTAGCGAAGGTGATCTATATCAGCCACGTGCTTGCGGTCCAAATAATTTGCAAGTATCGAAGGTGACTGTATCTGGTCCGAGGGCACCCACGTGTCATCCTCACTGGTACGATTGGTCCATCGTATCAGAAAGTCAACGTGTCGTCCACGACCGTCGATACGAATCCGATGGCTCAAGATCTTCGAAGGCTCGATGGTTGTCTCGGCTGGTGGCCGTACATCTGAAACCAATCGCTGTCGAGCGATGTCCGACGTGTCAGGAACGAAGGGTCGCAACAGACTCACGTGGAATTTGTTGTGAATTCGCCAGTCATCAGGTAGGCGTAACTGGGCGGTCACCGGCGTCACCATCTTCATGATCTTGAACGGGCCACAGAAACGTGGTCGCAATTTTGTCGGTAGTGGCAGTCGTAAATTCTTGGTGTCCAAAAGGACTAGTTGCCCTGCTGCCATTGTAATATCCTGTCGATGTAAATCCGCATACCGTCGGGCAGTTACGTTCGCCTTGCGAATAAGTTCGACAGCTTTGTCTCGGGCAGTCTGTAGTTCTTCGACAAACTGCTGCGATTGGGGTAATTGACTCTCAACGTTGGTGGAGATCGGCACTGTAGGGTCCATCCCGTAATTGAGATAAAACGGGGAGTGATTAGTCGTAGATGAGGGCGCGTTGTTGTAGGAAAATTCCAACATGGGCAGCACGTCCTCCCATTTTTTCCGGTCGGGGCAGTTTGTCCGAATCAGCTGCTCCATCGTTTGATTTGTCCTTTCTGTCTGGCCGTCCGTTTGGGGATGATACGCGGATGAGAACTGTAGATGCGTGCTGTACCGAGCCCACGTGTCCTGCCAGAATTTTGACGTGAACTTCGGATCTCGATCGCTAATGATTGCTGCTGTTATCCCGTGTAGGCGAACAACGGTCGAGATGAACAGGCGCGCTGTTTCTTCGGCTGTGATGGTTGTACGACATGGTGCGAAATGCGCCATTTTCGTCAATCGGTCGACGACAACCAAAACCGCGTCGTTTCCGCTAGGTCCGGCCGGTAGTCCCGTAACGAAATCCATCGTTACGTGTTGCCATGGGCGTTGAGGTGGCTCGAGGGGTTGGAACAGTCCTGTAGGTCGCTGGTGTGACGACTTCATTCGCTGGCAGATCGGACACGCGGCCACGTAACGCTGCACGTACGTCACCATATATGGCCAGTAATAAAACCGCTGCAACGCCTTCAGAGTTTTATCAACCCCAAACTGTCCCGATAAATTCGAATCGTGGACTTCTTGAATTAATAATTCGCGAAGTAGACGATAGCTTGGGACCCAAATTCGATCAGTCCCGCTTCGTAAGTAATAGACGCCTTTCCGTGTACTGATTGGGAGATGGCCGTCGTTAACGAAGAAGGGGTCAGTCGAATACCCGTGGGTAAATAGTCCACTCAGTAGCGGGTTGCTCTGGGCGACTAGTACTGCTGCGAGTTGGGTAGATGGTCTGGAAAGAGCGTTGGCGATATTGTTGGCGCCCTTTTTGTACGTGATCTTGTACGTGAAATTGGACTCCAGGTAGTCCAGCCAGCGTATCTGCCGCGGGTTGAGATTCGGCTGCGCCCGCAAATACTGTAGTGATTTGTGATCGGTTCGCACCGTCACGTCTGCTCCAGTCAGGTAGCACCTCCAGATTTTGAACGCGTGGACGATCGCCAGCATCTCCTTGTCGTGTACCGGGTAGTTGCGCTCAGCAGATTGCATTTTCCGAGACTCGTACGCAATTGGTTGAAGCCCGTTGCCGAAATCCTGCATGAGCACGGCTCCGATGGCGATGTCACTTGCGTCGGTGATGACTTCGAAGGGCCTTTCCGGGTCAGCGATGCGAAGTACCGGTGGAGACATTAAAAGGGTTTTTAATGCCGCGAACGCAGCTTGCTGCTTCTCCCCCACTCGTAAAAAGCTCCCTTCTGCAGTAGGTCGGTTAGAGGTCCAGTTAACCCCGCCATGTTGGGTATGAACCGTCGCACGTAATTCACGAAACCCAAAAATGATTGCAGCTGCTGCAGATTTGTTGGCGGTTTCCACTCCTGAATAGCCCGGAGTTTTTTCGGGTCTATGCGAATCCCTTCCGTGGAAATCACGTGTCCCAGGAACTCCAGTTCTTGTTTAAAAAACTCGCACTTGGAGCTCTTGGTGATGAGTCGATGCTGCTGCAACCGCTGAAAAACCGCTTCCAAATCCTTTAAATGCTGCTCCCAGGTCTTGCTGTAGATCAGGATGTCGTCCAGGTAAATTATTACGCATTTGTCGAGTAGATCGCGGAATACCCCATTCATGGTGAGTTGAAACGTCGAAGGGGCGTTCGTTAATCCAAACGGCATCACCGTGTATTCGTAACTCCCGTAACAAGTACGAAACGCGGTCTAATGGCAGTCGTCAGCGAACACCCGATTTTGATGCTAACCGCCACGAAGGTCGATCTTCAAAAAGTAGCGAGCTCCGCGAAGGTTGTTGATCAGTTCGTCCGTTCATGGGATTGGGTAGCGCGATTTTATCGTTACCCGATTAAGGGCACGATAATCCGTACACATGCGAAGTCCGCCGTCCTTTTTTGGTGTGAACAGGATCGGTGCTGCGAACGGGGACGTGCTCGGCCGAATGAACCCTTTCGCCAGGAGGTAGTCCAGCTGGTTTCGTAACTCCTGTAGCTCCGGCTGAGTCAGACGCCATTGCGTGCGTACAGTAGGCTGCGCGCCGGGCTCTAGCTCGATTTTGTGGTCCTGGGGTCGTTCGGGTGGCAGTCCACTTGGCAAGTCGTCCGGGAAGATCTCAGGATATTCTCGAATGATGTTCGCCAAGTCATCCGGGACCGAGGCGTAGAGTTTGTTGATGTCGGTCGCCTCATTCTGCTCCGTTGATTCGGTTAGATGGACGGCGTATAACTCCGCTCCATTCTTGACCGCTCGATTGAGGCACACCGCGTTGACTCGTGTCGATGTTGTCTCTGCTTCCGGCCACGTGGGTAATTTTCGCCAACCTTTGTCGCACTTCACTGTGCACTCGCCTGTTGTCCAATCGATCTGCGGGTTGAATCTTCGCAGCCAATCGCGTCCCAATAGCACGTCGTAGCCGTCGAGCGTTGTCGCCAGCATCGGCGCGCTGAAACCAAAATCTTTGCCCCACTTCATTCGAACGACAGGTACTTTGTCGCGTATCGCCAGCGGGGTGCCGTCCACCAATCGGGCGTCGATTTCGGGTAGACACCGCTCCAGCGTCAGGTGTAGTCGTCGTGCTGTCTCTCGATTTATCAGGCTGTGACTCGCACCTCCGTCGATGAATATATTTATTTTTCTTCCATGAAGTCGTCCTTCCGCCAGTACAGGGTGGTCCACTGGGTCATCCTCCTTTTTCAGCCGGGAGCGGTTGATAGCATGTATCGGAACCACTACTCGGTGGGGATGCTGTTTTTCGGGTGAGGAGACAGGGTCAGTAGGGGGCCCGACCGCTACTGACGCTTGGCGTTTCCCGACCTGTCTTCATCGTTCTTCTTTATCTGCTTCTTTCGGGGGCAATCGTGAGATTGGTGACCCGGTTGGTGGCAGTTGAAACATTGTCCCTTGCAAAAATCGTCCATGTGCTCCTTCGCCACTACGCCGTGAATCGTGGGCCGTGGATTCTGGCCACGAAAACGGTTTCCCTCCCGGGAACCCGCTCTCGCATACGTCCGATGTGCGTCGAAGTTGTCTACGATCCGGACGGCTTCGTGAAACGTCGCTGGTAGTCGCAGCCGGACCTCGCATTTAATGTCCTGCTTCAAACCCGAAATGAATCGAGCTTTCTTCTCGGAGTCATGCATGTCGGTGATTTGATCGCATAACGCCATGAAGACCGACGCATAATCGTGGACAGAACTCCACTGGTGCTAGTTGTACAGCTTCGTGCGTGCGTTGTCCGAGGCGGATATTGGCTCGAAACGTTCACGCAGAGTTGTACCCCACGCCTTCTACGTGCAAATCTTGGTCGATCCAAAAATCGCGGTTGACCCTTGGGTAGCAGACCCAAAGTTTCTGAAAAACCCCTGTGTGTCGCCTGCCGAAAACTCCCCCTCCTGTAGAGTATATCGCCACCAATCTAACGCAGGTCCCCGCAGTAGTGATACAGCCAGTCGAATTTTTAACTCGTCAACAGTGATCCCAGCGGCATTAAAATAAAGTTCCGCCAAAAATAACCAGCCCATAACAGTAGTATTCTTATCTGAGGGGTTGAACGGGGGCGGCATTGTCGGTTTGATCGTCGCTGTCGTCACGATTGGCATAAACGCCGGTGCGGCTACAGTAGCGGCTGCTTCTGACCGAGCGGCTGCTGCTGTCGCTGCTGCTGCTGCTGCTGCTGCTTTGGCTGCTGCTCGTGCGGCCACGTCAGCTGATGCGGCGGCTTCACTGTCCTTGCGCTCCTGTGACACCTGACGTGCAATTTCGTCCAAGACGGTTTCGACACGTCCGGTGCTGGCGACCTCTTCTTGGGTGGCAGATTTCTGACGCGAATCCTCTCGCGCCTGGCGTAACTCAGCAACTTCCGCACGAAGTCGCTCGTTGTCCTCCAGCACTGTAGCCATGCGCGTGTTCATGGCGTTGAACTGCTCCCGAAACTCGTTGAACTGAGCTTGGTCCATTTGGCGAATGCTCCGCCGGGGCAGGGGGAAATCTGTAATGTGCCCGTACTCAGGTAAGCGCAAACGCTATCGTAGTTGGGCGAATTAATCAATCTAATATGCGAGCAACCGCTTTGCAGCTTACGTGAGGGACTCACCCCCCCCAAAAAAAATCACCTCTCGAAAACGGGTGAGCGAGGAAAGTGGCTCTGAATACCAGGTGTTATGAATGAACAAGCAGAGTAGCGCGGAAATGAATAACGAAGTGTTCACTCAATGAATGACGATACAAGGAATGGCAAGCCAAGATATAGGAACGCCAGAGCTAGTCTAACCCTGCGATGGTAAGGTTCGGGAAGGAGATCGAAGGGTCTCGAAGTGACGAAGCAAGGCCTGGAGAACTCCCGAAGGTCGAACTAGCAGGTCTGGAGAAGCCGAGGCGGTTCTGTCAGAAAGGTCCGGAACAGTCCCGAGGCTTCGGGTGTGTTCGAGCGTACGCGATAGCAGGACCGCTCGGTAAGGAATGGAAAAGTCCTTACAATATGGTTGACGGAAATTGTTACGAAGTATCACTCAAATTTTGTTCCCTAAGGCATGTAAGGCATACTCATACTATAGTCAAAACGACTGAATAATCTTGCTTCACGACATGGACAATGATTCCTGAACGTGTGCTGAAGTTATAGCGGTAAAGGTAACAGAAAAAACGTCACATGATATAGGTGTTAATGCGTTTAGAAATGATGTGCATGCCTCATGTGTTTACTTGGTAAAACGAAAATAGGATCTTGATCTGTATAATGAAAAGGCGCTGTGCTAACGAAAAACCTGCACTTAGTTCATGTTGGGCTGAGAAAAAGCCCTTAGGATCTTTCCAGAGACTGAGTCCCAGTTGTAAGAGATGCTTGAGTAATGCAGCGGAAGTTGAGTAGTTGAACCCTTGCACTAGTATGTGAGAGCAAGTGATGATTAAAGGAAACAAGTATAAAGCAATATATAGAAGATAGGAAAGTAAAGCTGTTGTAGAATACAGTTGAAGAACTGTTATCGAGTCGCACAGCGACTCGATGGTCGATTCGGTTACCACCCTTGCATGTCACAAGACTAGCTTAGCTAGGAAGCCATAGAATGGCACAAGGTTTAGCTAGGAGGAGCCATGGAGTGGCGTGAGGTTTAGGAAGGAGAAAAGTTGAGGAGAAAAAAGGGGTTGGGAATAGAAGAGAGAGGGATACAAGGAGGGGTGTTGTACCCTCTACAGTAAAGTTCAGTAACCTACCAAGCCTAACAATTATATAACACAATATATAATTTTAACATTGCAATTGCAACGGTCAGTCGCAACCTCCGGTTGCAACCCTTCGAGTCTTTTGTCCTTTCGTGTTCTTTCGTCCAACCTCCTCGTGTAACCTCCGTTGACTCGTTTACTCGATACGGCTTCACTCGAGTGTGGTGTTACACTTCAGAAACGCTTAAAGCGAGAAGATATAATAATGACCCCCCTTTCTAGTTGGGCCCAGTTTGATAGGGGGTGTGCAGTAGGCAAAACGAGCCCGGCGCACAAAAATCAGAATGGAATTCCATTTCGCCCCTGGGCAGCTGACCGCCCATGGAGGTGTGGCAACACAACGAAAAAACAATGTGTGCGACATGACTAGAGCACCTAGTGACCCAGACGACTCATGTCAGCGGGCTACAAGAACGCGCGCCAATCAGAAACAGGTACCATATGCCCCCAAAACAAAACCAACTCAAGAGTTCCAACCTGTCATGAACCCATGTGAGGGACCTAGGATTACGAGCATTCCAACAAGAACAAAGGGAACAGATACAAAGTCGGCACATCATAAGCTGCTAGTGACGCCGTGCCCATTCCACAGTGCGTGCCCGGTCTTAGAGGCTTAAAATTAAGATAACCAGAAACGTACCCCAACCCGTCTCTGCTATAAAAGTCGTCAAATGCATCGGGAAACGCGGTAGCCACAAACACCGGATGTGCGGCCCAACCATAGGCTTCCCCGGGCTCGCCTTCTACCTCGTCGCGCTAGCCGCCGCATGCGGCACGCGTGCAGACGAGCTCGGCGCTAAGCTGCCCTGTGACCGAGACGCAAAGAAAACGAGGTCCCCGTGCAAGACGCGGAATCGAGAGACCACGCGCCTCGCACCTCGAGCCACGCGCTGTGGGCTCGTTGCTCGCCGCTGACTAAACCTAATCTCGAGATAGCGCGGGAGCTCCAGCCTCCCCACCCGCCAGCCAGTAAGCACATCCCGGAAGAGAAGGCCAGGAGGAAAAAAAGGGGTGGATATGGCGAAGAGTGCTGGGGTGAGGGGGTTAAACTGAGAGGAGGGCAGGGGGGAAGGGAAAGAAGGGCAGGGGGATAGGGAGAGAAGGGCAGGGGGAAAGGGAGAGAAGGGCAGTGGGAAAGGGAGAGAAGGGCAGGGGGAAAGGGAGAGGAGGGCAGGGGGAAAGGGAGAGGAGGGCAGGGGGAAAGGGAGAGAAGGGCAGGGGGAAAGGGAGAGGAGGGGAGGGGGAAAGGGAGAGGAGGGCACGGGGAAAGGGAGAGAAGGGCAGGGGGAAAGGGAGAGGAGGGCAGGGGGAAATGGAGAGGATGGCAGGGGGAAAGGGAGAGAATGGCAGGGGTAAAGGGAGAGAAGGGCAGGGGGAAAGGGAGAGAAGGGCAGGGGGAAAGGGAGAGAAGGGCAGGGGGGAAAGGGAGAGAAGGGCAGGGGGAAAGGGAGAGGAGGGCAGGGGGAAAGGGAGAGGAGGGCAGGGGGAAAGGGAGAGGAGGGCAGGGGGGAAAGGGAGAGAAGGGCAGGGGGAAAGGGAGAGGAGGGGAGGGGGAAAGGGAGAGGAGGGCACGGGGAATGGGAGAGAAGGGCAGGGGGGAAGGGGAGAGGAGGGCAGGGAGAAAGGGAGAGGAGGGCAGGAGGGAAAGGGAGAGAAGGGCAGGGGGAAAGGGAGAGGAGGGCAGGGGGGAAGGGAGAGAAGGGCAGGGGGAAAGGGAGAGGAGGGCAGGGGCAAGGGGAGAGGATGGCAGGGAGAAAGGGAGAGGAGGGCAGGGGGGAAAGGGAGAGAAGGGCAGGGGGAAAGGGAGAGGAGGGCAGGGGGGAAGGGAGAGGAGGGCAGGGGGAAAGGGAGAGGAGGGCAGGGGGAAATGGAGAGAAGGGCAGGGGGAAAGGGAGAGAAGGGCAGGGGGAAAGGGAGCGGATGGCAGGGGGAAAGGGAGAGAAGGGCAGGGGGAAAGGGAGAGGAGGGGAGGGGGAAAGGGAGAGGAGGGCACGGGGAAAGGGAGAGAAGGGCAGGGGGAAAGGGAGAGAAGGGCAGGGGGAAAGGGAGAGGAGGGCAGGGGGGAAAGGAGTGGAGGGCAGGGGGAAAGGGAGAGAAGGGCAGGGGGAAAGGGAGAGAAGGGCAGGGGGAAAGGGAGAGGAGGGCAGGGGGGAAAGGAGTGGAGGGCAGGGGGAAAGGGAGAGAAGGGCAGGGGGAAAGGGAGAGGAGGGCACGGGGAAAGGGAGAGAAGGGCAGGGGGAAAGGGAGAGGAGGACAGGGGTAAAGGGAGAGAAGGGCAGGGGTAAAGGGAGAGAAGGGCAGGGGGAAAGGGAGAGAAGGGCAGGGAGAAAGGGAGAGAAGGGCAGGGGGAAAGGGAGAAGAGGGCAGTAGGAAATGGAGAGGAGGGCAGGGGGAAAGGGAGAGAAGGGCAGGGGTAAAGGGAGAGAAGGGCAGGGGGAAAGGGAGAGAAGGGCAGGGAGAAAGGGAGAGAAGGGCAGGGGGAAAGGGAGAAGAGGGCAGTAGGAAATGGAGAGGAGGGCAGGGGGGAGAGGAGGGCAGGGGGAAAGGGAGAGGAGGGCAGGGGGGAAAGGGAGAGGAGGGCAGGGGGAAAGGGAGAGGAGGGCAGGGGGAAAGGGAGAGAAGGGCAGGGGGAAAGGGAGAGGAGGGGAGGGGGAAAGGGAGAGGAGGGCACGGGGAAAGGGAGAGAAGGGCAGGGGGAAAGGGAGAGGAGGGCAGGGGGAAATGGAGAGGATGGCAGGGGGAAAGGGAGAGAATGGCAGGGGTAAAGGGAGAGAAGGGCAGGGGGAAAGGGAGAGAAGGGCAGGGGGAAAGGGAGAGAAGGGCAGGGGGGAAAGGGAGAGAAGGGCAGGGGGAAAGGGAGAGGAGGGCAGGGGGAAAGGGAGAGGAGGGCAGGGGGAAAGGGAGAGGAGGGCAGTGGGGAAAGGGAGAGAAGGGCAGGGGGAAAGGGAGAGGAGGGCAGGGGGAAAGGGAGTGGAGGGCAGGGGGAAAGGGAGAGAAGGGCAGAGGGGAAGGGAGAGGAGGGTAGGGGGAAAGGAAGAGGAGGGCAGAGGGAAAGGGAGAGGAGGGCAGTGGGGAAAGGGAGAGAAGGGCAGGGGGAAAGGGAGAGGAGGGCAGGGGGAAAAGGGAGAGAAGGGCAGGGAGAAAGGGAGATGAGGGGAGGGGGAAATGGAGAGGAGGGCATGGGGAAGGGGAGAAATTGGCAGGGAGAAAGGGAGATGAGGGCAGGGGGGAAAGGGAGAGAAGGGCAGGGGGAAAGGGAGAGGAGGGCAGGGGGAAATGGAGAGGAGGGCAGAGGGAAAGGGAGTGGAGGGCAGGGGAAAAGGGAGAGAAGGGCAGGGGGAAGGGGAGAGGAAGGCAGGGGGAAGGGGAGACGATGGCTGGGGGAAAGGGAAAAGGAGGTATAGAACCCACACATGTCAAACTGTGCCCCCTAACTCTCTCTGGCTCCCTCTGCTCGCTCTGCCCTCTATGCGTGTGTGTCTCCTGCAGTCGCTGCATCCGGGTCAAGACGGGTGCGGAGGCGCACCGGACTCGCCCCAACGGTGCACCATCCGCTTTGGTGCTGGTCGCCGGACGCCTTTGGGAGGGAATATCCAAAGCAGAAAACTTTGTTAGAGAGTTGGGCAAGAAATTGGCTGGGGCTAAGGAGTGAGAATGAGACTGGTCGTCGGCGACTTACCGTGGAAAACATGATTCGTGTGTGTTGTGGGGGAAACACCCCCGAGAGCTGCAATGGAGTACCGTTGCAACCGAAGCACCACCGTTTCCGATGTTACGTCACCTACTCGCGCCTCCTAGGTGACCATCGACACGCTAGGGTTGAACTGCCTTGGCTGATCTATGTGGTGATCGGATCACTGTACCCAGAGGATAGTGTTGAGGGGTACGAGCACTGTACCTCAGAGGAAGTGGACTATTTTGTGCACCGTTGGTCTGCGGTCGATGATATAAACTTTGCAGCCACGGAGTGGCGGGGTTTGTTAGCACCTGCAACCGGCTAGTGGTGCACTAGTAGGGCAACACTCCAAGAAGCTGTGGCTCCCAATGTTAGTGAAAGCAACAGCCCTTCGCTATATATAACAATCATTGTGTTATGAATTGTGTGAGGGATACTAGCATATGCAACAAATTAGAAGGACGGAATGTAAAGTTACATACACTCAAGCCCTGGTTTTCACTTCGTATAACCCGCTGTGAAGAAGTGTTCTGTTGTCAACTATAAATTTAGGTATTGTTGGAGAGGATTGAGTGGAAAAGCAACCTGCTGCTGCAGCACTAACAAGTCAGGGTTCACAATGCTGGGGTATAGTATGCAAACGAGTGACGCGGGTCAGTCAACTAAGGATTGCGGAAACGTTTGGCAACAAAACTGTCGTGTCCCCAATGTCCCGCTATGTACCCCTGTATGCAGCCGGCGAACATGAAACTCCCCCCAACACCCATCCGGGCATGCACTCTGGCCCACCGCACTGGGCTCGCAACCGCATGGTGAACGCCCCCAATCAATCTGTGCCTGCTGGTGGGCATCATTGGTGCACAGCATGCGCAATAACATGTGGGGGAAAAGGGAGAAGCGGGGGGATAAAGGAGGCGAACAACTGCGTACGGCAAAACGCGACTCACAGTCATGCTGTCTCTGGCCTTCCAAGTGTCAAACCGACGCCCCCCTCCATGTTAACCAAGTGCCATGCCTCACAGCTGCCTTTCCTCACATTCCCCTTTCTTTCACACTTTCCACCTACCGTATCTCCACCTTATCTCCCCTTCTTAAAATCTTTGGGCTGTATAACGCGGCACAAGAACATCCCCAACTCTCCATTTCCCCCCATTCATCTGGGAGGTCTAAAAATTAGAGATAGAGAGAGATGTAGGAACTAGCTTCGTGGCAGGTGGGTCGTAACCATAGATAGGGGAGAAATGTGGGAGGTCGAGAGGGAACTGGTGAGAGGTGGACAAGGAACAAAAAAGGGGGAAAAGGGCTGGCCTAACAAAACAAGAGCGGGGATGAGTGGAAATCGAGCGAGCGTGGGGCTCCGATTATCATGCAAGTACAGTACCATATTGTGTCAGCCTTGGAAGCGTCGCGGCTGCTTACGGGGTGGAACAAACGGGTTTCGAACAGAGCGGCGCACCAACCCTGCGTGTCAATGGTTGGGAAGAAGACGACTAGAAAAACATTAGGGGTTAAAGAGAGTGGGCATAGAGTGGGGAGATAGAGGGAAGACCATGACAAGAGTTTAATAAAAGGCAGAGAGGCATCAAAATTATATATGGACAAAAAGATGGGAAGAATGTAATAAAGGGAGAGGGAGAGTGGGGAGAGAGTGAGCAAAGAGGGTAAAGAGCAGAGAGGGAGCTAGAATAGGGTAGAAAAGAGAGTGGGATCAGTTGGAAAGAGTGAGGGAGAGTGGAAGGGGTTAAAGAGAGAGGGCATAGAGTGGGGAGATAGAGGGGAGACCATGGCAAGAGTTTAATAAAAGGTGGAGAGGCAACAAAAAGTATATGGAGAAATAGACGCAGTTCCCCCACTTGGGGTGAACGTAGTCGATGGCCGCTGGCTCCTCAAGGTGAAGCGCCCTCCTAGAGAGCCGCTTTTCTTCAAGGTGCTCTACGTTGCTCGTGGCTTCACTCAGCGTGAGGGTGTTGACTTCTTTCAGACCTTCGCCCCGACCCCGAAGATGACCACTCTTCGGGCGCTGCTACACATAGCAGCAAAGCGTGACTACGAGCTGAACTCCCTCGACATCTCCACAGCGTTCCTCCAGGGCAGTCTATACGAGCAGGTCTACCTGCGTCGCCCGCCGGGCTTCTCAGGTACCTTCCCCCCTGGCACCGGAATGGCTCCTCCGGCGCCTCGTCTACGGCTTGCGCCAGGCGCCCCGTGAATGGCTCGACACGCTGCGTTCTACGCTTGCTGGCTTGCAGTTCTTTGCGTTGTCTGCAGACCCCATTCTAGATCCTTGTCTACGTAGATAACTTACTGTTCGCTACTGCAAAAAGAAACGCACTGGCCTCCATGAAGGCCAAGCTGCTGAGGAGACACACCTGCAGTGACCTAGGAGAGTTGCGCTGCTACATTGGCCTGCAGATCTCCAAGGACAGAGCAGCACTCACCATCACTCCTACGTAGTTACATTTGGTGCGCCAGGTCCTTCAGAGGTTTTCTTCGGCACAGCCCACACCTATGCTAGTAGACCACAGGCTCTCAACTCCATTTCTTGAGGAGTCAGTCGGGCCCAGTGGCCCTTACGCACAGCTAGTGGGTTGCTTCACGTACCTGATGACTTACACTCGTCCAGATCTCGCATACCCTCTCAGCATCTTGGCTCGCTTTGTGGCCACTGGCAGACACCGACTACAGCACTCGTCGGCCGCTAAGAGGGTTTTGCGTTATCTAGCAAGTACATCGGTCATGGGGCTAGTGCTGAGAGGACGCAGACCAGTGGTTCCTACTGGGCACACAGTTGCTTCTTGGGCAGATGACGCTGAGACCCTCAAGTCCTCCCATGGCTACTGCTTTAGCCTTGATTCGAGTGCCATCGCGTGGAGGTTTACTCGCTCTTTGTCTGTTGCTTAGTCTACCTGTGAGGCTGAGATCTACGCCGGTGCCATAGGCGGCACAGGAGCTCCGCTGGCTGAGTTCTTGTCACCGACTTAGGTGACCGGCCTAGCTCTTCCCCGGTTCTGTACGCTGACAACATGGCCATGATCCTCCAATGTCAGGAGCTTCAACTTGAGGGCAGAGCAAAGCACATCTAGCTGTGGTACTTCCTCATGCGCGAGCTACAGCATCGTCGCCAGGCCCGCATAGTACACTTGGCCTCCAGGGCCAACACACCTGATATCTTTACTAAGGCGCTTGCGCCTAAAGATCATCAGCGGCACTATTTGTAGCTTGGTCTAGTTCCTATAGCTAGTCACGTGGTAGGACCTTGATTTTGTACTCTTCATTATATATACCTTTCTGATTGGTCTTGTGGCTTCGCTGCCAGTGGCCGGAATTGTAGTGCCGCCCTGGTTTGCTCTATTCTTGTTTGTACTCTTGGTGACTGGTCTTCAGACCTCTGCCTCAGAGGTTGGACTGTTAGTGCCACCCTGAGCTGCATGCTTCTTGCTCAGCAGTGCCCCTTATCTAGCCTAGGGGGTGTGTTAACTTATCCTTATGTTTGTATGTAGAAATTATAAGCTAGATAGGTTTGTGCTCTTAGCGGGTACAAATCTAACCCTATGTCTCCCTTGTTCTCACTTGTTGCTAGTCATTCTCTCATTCTAACACCATCCACAATATGGAAGCGCTAAGTGGTCAGACTGGTAAAGCTGCTCTGAGTTGCCTTGTTGCCCTCACTGGAGGTCAGACTAGTAGTGCTGCCCTGGTGTACTCTGCCTTGTTATGAACTGCCACTATCTAGGTTAGGGTGTGTGTCAACAAATATATTTTTAATATATATTAGCTAGGTCATATTTGTTTATAGCCTAGCTAGTTTAGCTCTTAGTGAATACAATCATAGTTTTGTATCTCTATACAATTTCCCTCAATCACAGATCTTCGCTACTCTAACTGTGCAACATCTATGTGATGCATCTCCAAAAGGCAGCTCTTCAGCACTCTGATATTGCTGATGCTTAGGGCGTGGTACTTCAATTATATATGTGATACATATATTGATAGGCTTGGTAGGTATTACTGAAACCTACTGTAATGGGTACAATCCCCTCCTTGTATGCTTCGCTCTTCCTAGTCTCACCTCTCTTTTCTTGCGTAAGTTTTCTCTCCTACCTAAAACCCTCTCGCCATTCCATGGCGGCCTATCGTTCCTAGCTACCTAGTTTCAACATGCTATCAGAGCAGGTTGCCCCTCTCGGGCCTGCTCCCCACGCTTCCGCCGCGTACTCCTCGCCCTCCTTGAACTATCTTTTTGCCGCCGCTGCGGCCATGTCGAGCTACCGTCGCGGCGTTGTGGTGCTGCCGTCGCAGCCCTGACGCATGGCGTCGACGCCACATCGCGGCAACGATGTTGTGTTGCTGTCGCGGCGTCGACGTCTCGCCGCGGCAT